GCCAGGTCTTCATCGCTTTTCTGAACAACAGCATAGTGGGGGCCATCTTATGGGGAACCTCATTCCAGAGGGTAAGTGCTGCTGCAGAGAAGGCATACTTCCAGGGTCCTGATAGATGACATTGTTTAATCAAAGGAACCCAGAGTGCACCAACCCTGCAGGATCAAATCAGCCAGGCAGATGCTGTAGGAGACAGGTTGTCTCACATAGCAGAACTTCTGAATAAGATACTTTAGAGCTGTTCTATAACCTGGTGGAGAATGATGAGCATTGTAGCATAAGGCATGTGGAAGGTCCTAGGTTGTTGAAGCGCCTAGGGACCCAAATGGTCCTTCAAATACCTTGATCTTAGGCCATCTAAAAATACACTGATTCTCACCTTTTTGAATCCATTGTATAGGTACCAGATTATGCATTGCTGCTCTAGGATATCATGGTAGAATACATACATGAGGCTTAGCAATGGGCAACAAAAAGTACTTCCCACCCTGCAGTTCTTTCATGTACTATAACGAAATTTTACAGATTTTCTTCATGACTGTCTTCTGCTGCTACTCACCTGCCTGCCATCTAGGAATCTGATGAGATTTAAATCTGTACAGAATGGTGGGCTACAACTGATGGCCTAGATCAGGGTCTCCAACCCATTAGGGCTGGGGGGCACATTTGTAATTTTGAGAATAGATCACAGGCACTGTTGTGAAATAGCTGCTGGGGAGCTCTTTCTGATTCACATGGGATAACTCCATCTCTCTTCCCCTGCTGGGTGCTCCCTATTATGTTCGTCTTTTTTTTTTTTTTTAACCAAGCTGGGATACTTCCAAAAAAAAACTTTGGGTAGCAGCTGCCCATCATTTAAAAAAAAAAAAGCTTATGGAGCTCAGTGGCACTCTTGAAAATAAAAATGTCATTAGCTGATGCTTTTTTTTAATTAAAAGTTTCTTTTTAAAAATGTCCCAAGTCATGGATGGCAGGAAGCTTGGTGGGCATCAAAGGACATGTCTATACATACATTGGTGTCTCCTGCTATACTGGGGAACTCAAGCAACTGTATTAAATACAAATGGATAAACTCTGGGGATGTGCAAACATAAGATCCTAATCTTCCCTGTTGTCTTCACACATTCATGTACAATCTCTCACCTTCCAGTGGCTAGACACATGGAAATGAAGAGTGAGGAATCCTTGTTTACCTGGCTCTAGTTTCCATGTGGGTTTTTCTTTCCCTCTTCCTATTGATATCAAGTCCCTGCAATCTGACACCCCAGCAAGCTAGGGATAGGCTGGGATTTATAGTTGTAGCAACAGGTGGCCCTCCCCCATATCCAATCAGGTTGTACAATCTGGGATGGGCCTAGCACACATGCTTCAGTATGCCTGCCCATCAGCTTGGGTGTAACCAAAGAACTCAGTCTTCTGAGATGAAAGCAGAGAAAGTTTCATCCAAGCTGACTTGCAGACTCATCTTGATCCTTCCTTAGAAGTGTTGGAAACTCAGCAAGAGCTGAATATCCATCCAAGAACTGCTGCTAACTACTGTGTCCCAGAGTGGAGAATGTGGCAGATGAGACCATTGGATGGCTTATCTCTAAGTGCTTTTCTTGATGCAGACAGCTGTCTGGTATGGATATATTATTTCACTGTTTATGCTTTCCTGTTCACCTGGTTGAGATAAGCATTTAGAAATGGAAGTTTCACTCTTACAGTCTGGAAACAAATGTTCCTTTAGAAATTTCAAGATTATGCTAGAAAGTACAGTAGATCCCAGGTTTGCAGGTGTGGTTTCTTTAATTAGAATTTTGAGATTCACCACTACAATCAGATATGACTTCTTATTATATTGAAATAATTCTCAGCCAACCAATATTTTGAATACCAGATTTGAACAAAGTTTGCTTCCATTCACAATTCAGCATTTGCCCAAAGCTTTCTTATTTATCAGCATAATTTAGAATTTGAGGAGGGGAATGTGTGTAGGGGGAAGTCTTTTTTAAGTTTTTGTTTGTAGAACACTTGGGAATCTGAAATCTACAACTAATTATATTTACCAGTAGCAATTGATCAAGAATCTGTTCACCCTTGCCCTAGTTATTTTAGAGCTCTGCTTGTGCATTTGCATTGAGAATTATTGTTGCTCCAGGCTAAACCCATTGCTTTAGAACAGGATTGGAACCTGACACTTTAGGGAGGACAAAGCGAAGAACTATAGTGAAATAAGAAAACCTATGCTGAAGTGGAAATATGCACATATCAGCTCTAGATACTATTGAATAACATATGGAAGCCTAGGATTTGAAGCTATATAAGCATAGGGACATTTTTCTTGTGCAAAGAGCAGTTGTAGATAACTGATTTTAATATTTTTGTTTGCATCTTATTTTTCTTCGTAATTATAACTACGTAGTGCATGCAGATATTATTTTTGAAGGGATTAGTATCCTTTTTGTTTTTCGGAAACAAGAGAGATCTTCCTATGGCAGCTGTTCTGAACTAGGAAGCCAAACTGGTTGGGGTGCAGCAACAGCTGGCATTTGTGGCATTACAGATTTGGTTTGAATGGCATCCACCCTGCATATGTTGATAAGGTGCAAGAGTTTGCTAGCAGAAACAGGGAGGGAAGGTCAAAGGTGAGATGCTTGTGGCTCACCCGAGAAGCTTTTACTGCATTCTTTATGTTAAGGTTGTTTTTCTCAAATCTGACTGTGCCATAGCCTCGGGTGGTGATTTTAATATTTATACAGTAACATCTCTTGTGTACACATAACAAAGCTTAACCCTAATTTGTTTGCTCCATGTCTTATGCAAGGGAAAAGGAAAATGTATTGTTTTAAGATGTGATTCATAGTGCAGGATAGCCCCTTTAAAATAAAGTTCAATTTTTTTCAAATACACAAAAAGATGCTGTCTTTCTATGGTAAAAGAATAGACCAGTGATGGTGAACCTTTTGGGATCAAGATGTCAAAAATTCAGAAAATGCCTAATTTGACTCTGCTGGCATGTCACACACACCCCCCCCTGAACAGAACAGAAACAATTCTTTACATATTCATTTATTTAAAAAAAAAACAGTCCAATCACATGTGGTGCTATGTATTATATAAAGAAACATCAAATAATTACAAAAATGAAATACGAGTAAAATGAACTCAGTTTCTTTGGTAACTCAAACAGGGAGAATACTTGTTGGGTATTGGTGAATGCTGGTGTGTCACCCAAAACATCATGGCATGTCACCTTTGACCCAAATGTTATAGGTTCACCATCACTGGAATAGACTACATGACTGAAAAATATGTCATTTCTGAAGAAAAACTTAATGTGGGTGGTTTGTTTATTTCAAGTCTGATTATTCATGTAGGTAAGTTTAAATGTGTTCACTACTCAGTCACTATGGACAAAGAAGTGCCTTTAAAAATGTTTCAGAAAAGGGAGCCCCTGACCTAGTTATGGATTGAGAGCCCCATGGAATACAAGGGCTGTAGGCAAGACCATGAAATCGAGAAAACATCCCAAAAGAAACCGGTGAAAACCAGCTTCTGTGTTGGTGCCAGGAAAACTATATGCATGTGTCCATCTGATTATCAGTGATTTAATTACCAGTTGACTAGAGATTTAATGTAGTAATGTAAACATATTTAATGAGCATGAGCTAATAAAACTGCAAGCAACATTAATGTTAAATAACGCCAGTGCGTGAAACTGTTAAGACAACACAATGACACTCAACTCACTTTCTACAAGTTGTTCCTGACTCATCAATTACCAGAAGAATTGTCAGCTGCTGCCTGCTACCCAAACCAGCCAGGACCAGGGAACTTTGTTCTTTGTTAAAATCCCTAGATTTTGTTTGCCATAAGGAAGTGCAAAATTGCAACTGGGGGATAGAGCCAAGCACAGAATAAGCTGCATGTCATGTATGTATAATAACTGCTTATCTGGCAATAAATGCCACATAAGCTATCTTGTTCTCCTTGAAGGAAGTCAGGATATTAAGTAATAAATAAAACTATATTTTAATTCTTTGAAAATGGAATATAACAGCATTTTCATTTGGATAGCAGAGATCTGGCCAAATGCAACCAGCTAGTTCAAATCATTTATACACACATGTATATTCACATATTTTATATTAAGAACAAATCCTTCCTATATTTTTAGAGTGACAGTACTGTAAATTCACTTTGCTTTGGGGTTTGGTACCATTTTTGTCATAGATCTGATAACTGAACTTGGCCAACACGTTTCTTTCTTTTCAGTTCTACAACTGTAATATGGGAAAAGCAGTAATCCTTATTACTGTATTCCCCTAAAGGTACTCATAATGCAATATGGTGAGAGAGACCTGTTTGTGTGCTGCTGTTTTTAAGTAAGCTTATAACCCCCCTAGACACTTTGAAAGCTGTAAGTGTAGATGCTTGCTATTCTTTGCATAGATCAGTTTTAATGTACATTCTTCTGATCTTAGGAGAAAGGAGGATGTTAATGTTTTGAATACATAAAAGCATTCTGTGTGACAGTATGGATTGGTTGGGGAGAGATAGAGAACTTGGTCCCTCGAGTTCTCCCTGCATAGAAACCAAGTAAGACCTTTAAGGAAGGAAACCCTTTCATCTGAGTCCTTCCTTATTATTACAACACCCAGCAGGCTGAGAGAGAGAGGGAGGGAGGGATATCTATCTATCTATCTATCTATCTTGGAGACTTATTTACAAAGTGGAGTTAATTATAAGCAGGAGAAAATGCAGCAGTGGATCTAGTTTGTCTGTATGACTTCTCTTTCAAGTTTTCAGACATAAGGATTTATTCTGTATTTCCTCAATGTTTGCTTTAATCTAGTTTTTCCCATCTTCTAAATGCACTGAAATGCTGTTGTGCCAGCCATCTTGGTCAATAGCTGTGAATGATAATCATAACACACTGAAGAGTACAAGGGCAAGGAAGGGTCAGCTTAATCTTGTGCCCTGTATTAAAACTGCTCTGTCTTCATCTCTCTTTCTAGCCAGATCTTCTGAATTTCAAGAAGGGATGGATGTCCATATTGGATGAGCCAGGAGAGGTAAGCTGGAAGAATTATTAAGACACAATCATCCTCTCCTCCTCCTCCTCCTCCTCCTCCTCCTCCTCATTTGAAGAATTATTAAGGCACAATCTACTTCCCACTCTTCCTCTTCCATCCCCACTGAAACAAGAATTTTACACCAATCCTTTTTAAATGTAGAAATTAAATATGCTTTTGACTTTTGGCTGGTGTGGGTCTTCCGGGCTGTGTGGCCGTGTTCTTGAAGTTTTGTTTCCTAA